AATGTATATGTGTTCTTTATCAAGGTCTACCGGTATTGCAACTATTGTTTGACTGAAATTCTTACTCGTTAGATTTTGATTTATCAGACAAGCTATCTACTGTACCCCTGCAACTGCCTGAAGGTGATGCGATCATAATTTTGTCGACCATTATATGGCTCTTCAAACGAAAATGTAACTGTTGTGGGGGGGGGGGTGTCTGGATTGTCAAGACATGTCCACCGTTTCCTCTCATGGTGACTGTGAACAGATGTTCAAGTTCATCTTGATATCACTGTACTGTAAGTAATCCCCCCATTAACAGCTCACAATGTCTGCGACGACCTTGCAAAGCAGTGATGTTGTGGATCCACTCACTGACTCATATTAATGCTTTTGCAACTCTTTTTTTTTTTTGGTCTTCTGTGCCAAACTTCATGAATTTTATCTTTCAACCACAGAAGTGGCTGCTGCAAAAATTCATGGTGCTTTGATATAGTTGAGACTGGGTTACGATATTCGACAGAGAATGACACAAGTGACCAAATGAAAACGTTGAAAAGATCATGAAAGTCATTACAGAAATCATAGCAATGTCAGACAAAGGATTCATTCCGAGATACATATATTATAGTGTCCCAATGTAATTGCTTTTGATACACTGTGACTCAGTACGGGCACAGCCAAACAAACCCTTTGTCGTCCAAAACTTGACACACTGCTGGTTAACTTCGGTGCCACCCTGAATAAACCTAAGGCACTGTCTTTTTCAAAGAAATTTTCAATAACTGCCCAGCTCGTAGTATCATCAAGATGAGTAGGCCCACAGAAATTGTGGTAGATCAACACATTGTTTTTAATTCTTAATTAAGTGTGGAGGATCAAAGAGGACTGGTTTTATCACCCTCGTAATGAAAAAAAAGTTTAGTGTTCTAAAACCATCTGGTTGTATGGGCCTCGGTCACACGCAAGCCTTCACCTTCAAATAAACATTATTAAAAGCTATAAAAGGCCTCTAACAATGGAACAACGAGTCGCACTACCCTCACCAGGTGTGTGCTGATAAGGAAGCAGGTCAGCGGTTGAACGTCGGTTGACGCGCAGACATTACCCCCGGGAGTTTCATGAGGTCGCATGCTTCATTGGTTCGACCATAGATGTACACTATAGGCACTAGATACAGTGCGCCCCTCTCTCACCTTGCTGCGCGATGGCCACATTTCACAGCGGCGTCCGCCATGTTTCAGTGGGCGAGATGTGTGAAGGAATTCAAGCTAAAGCAATGGGCTAGATCTAGACATGTTTTCTCTCTCCGTCACACGCGATGGGCGAGACTTGGTCCTTGATTTTTTTTTTTACATGGGCGCCGTGGTGTGCTATCTAGGTTTCTAAATAACAATAATACAGCGTTCTTTCTACAACTAGATCTACAAACAAATGTATTATTAAATAGATAGAGATAGCTTTTTAAAAAAAATTTAAAAGACCACATTATTTCTTCATCAGCACTTAATACGAAGTGGTTTATTTCTTAATGACTGAATCAAAACGTATCTATATAGGGCCTATAGAAATAGAACTTTTAAAAAGAAGTATGAAAAGATGTGGGTGTCATGGAACCTCCCAATCACCCCACCCTCTCTCTCCTCCCGAATCCCAAT